AAGCAATAACAAACAAACAAAAATAAATAAAAATAAAAATAAAAATAAAAACAAATAAACTTCTTTCCTTCCCAGGGGTTTATTTCTCCAATCTCAGGACTCCTGCAAGTTCAAGGTGAAAGACATTTAAAAAAAAAAAAAAAAAATCTTGGGTTCCACATGCTTTCAAGCCTATCTGATTCATTCCCATCCAAACCTCTCTAGACAGAACACATAAAACCACAGCTTTATTCCGTGTCCCTCCCATCCCAGCTCAGAGGCAGCTCCACAACTCTTGGCTAGGAATATTATTTCAAATAACTCATGTGGACAGCTGTGTGACTACAAGAAGAAATAGATGGGTCCTGGAATGCCCCCTTGCTATAGATCACAACCCCCAACTCCCTCCCCTCCCTCAAGCTGCCTGGACAGAAAGAGGTCAATGATTAATTATGCCAAGATAAACAGAGTTAATTTTCTTCCTGGATAAAACTAATTACAACTGTGTTTGTTTTGGTAGGACACAGAATTACTGTCCCTGGTGACAAATATTCCTAATTGAAAGAGTGTTTATTTCCAAGGAGTGGGGGCTGGGGTCACTAAACAACAGTTAGGTAGTGCTTCTCCCATTTTTCATTTGAAGAGGGACAGCTATTAGATGCTGGCTTCGGTGAAACATGGGAGACCCCTTTCTGTGGGTCGCCCTCCCTCAGGCCTACTAAGCAGCCTTGGCAAACTATAAGATCCATCTAGAAGTTGGGAGGTGAAGAACCATGAGCTGTAGTCGATGGCTTCGGGTCGACGTCCTCTCCGGCACCATAATGAGGAGGCAAGAAGGAGCATTTTAACTCTCATCGCTCACCAGCATAAACCACGGAAGAACACGTGAGTAAACTCAGGTTCTTCTAGCCTCATAGGTCAGCGTCAGTGCTAAATGCTGAAGGCTGGAAGCAGGCCATGACCAAATTGGAAACATATAGTATGTGTTCACCTGAAGCTTCTATAGGAACAGAAGGAAGAAATCTGCAGAAGAGTCCAGCAGATGCAGGCCCTGTGTGCACAGAACTGGCTAGGTATAAGTACGCTCAGAGGGTTCTACTGCATCCTGTACAATTAGTCTGAGATAGCGGGGGAAACTGAGACATTTGATAATAGATCTCGTACTAGGATCATAAGGGATCATACTACTGAGGCTACCATGTAGATTAACACAAACTCCCATAACCAATTACACACACACACACACACACACACACACACACACACACACAAAATGCAATGCCTTGACTTGTAGAAGCTAATATGCAAGATCAAAGTACTGTCAGGGTGATGCCCCTTCCAAGGCCTCTGTAGATGACCCTTCCTTTCCTCTTCCAGATGTTGTATGAGCCCCAGGAACAACTTGACTTGGGCCAATACGTCTCAGTCTCCCACTATTTTACGAGGTTATCCTTCCTTTATTCCTTGCCTGTGTCCAATTTACCTCTATGCCAGTCATGCAGGCTCAAGCCAATCCCATTCCTGAGCGGCCTCATCCTAAGCAGTCACACTTCAGTAGCCCCTTTCCTTAGTAAAAATACTTTCGGAGGTACCCAAGGTTAGGACTTCTGCATGCCTTTGGGGAGATATGATTCACTCCATGACGTGGGTTCCGAAGGGCACCTTCAGAAGTATGAGGCTCATTCTGTGAGCAGAGGGAACACAATGAAGCCCGCACATGTATGTTCCAGTGGTTGTGATATAATGTGAGGGTCTAATATGGAGGGTTGGCCTGAGCCACAAGTAGGAAGATTAGTTAGGTGAAAAGTTGCTGTGGAGTGAGGGTGAGTCTAGATCACACCTCAAATCTGATGGTAGAAAAGGTGAGTTTTCTGGTAAAAACTGGTACAGTTTCAAGATTCAACAGTTCAAAGACCATGGTGGTTACTGGGATGTTGGAGGAGCAGGAAGGAGGGGATGAGGCTTCCGGTCCCTGGTTAAGCAACTGAACACAAGGAGAAAGGGCAGATTGGAAAGAGTCTTGGTTTGAAACAAAAGCTGTGATAACTATCCAATCGAGACATATGGACACCCAAGTCTAAAGTACATCCCTCTGGAATACGGGCCTAAAGGTCATCAAAAGATAAAAATCACAGAGGCACACAAATGGCCACACAGGGTGAAAAGAGCAGGTCTGAGATAGAGAGCCGAGAGGACTGTCACATTAGGGATCCAAAAGAGAATCAAAGGATTAAACTGGGACAGTACACTCATGGAAGTTGGCGGAAAACCAAAATCAGAAGCTGAGGTCTTGTGCTGGTTATCCACCATGATATGTGTGTGAGTGTGGGTGTGTGTGTATCTGTGTCTGTCTTTCTGTGTGTCAGTTTGTGTCAATCTGTGTGTCTATGTGTGGATGCATGTACAGACACTCTCCCCATCCCCCCACCCTTCTACCCAAACTCTGTCAACATTTTGGGGAGCATTGTAGGCCACTTCTCTTGGTTTTCTTGTAGAATCACTGAAATGGTTTAGCACAAAGTAGTTGTTTGTTGTTGAATATGTGAAAAATTGTGATTGTATAAACTGCCATCATATTAATTATGGATAAAGTTCTCTAACAGAAACTTAGCAATGTCCCATAGCAAGACCAGTGATACTCAATGCTGGTACAAAGAGAGGAGGAAAAGAGGAGACAGGCAGCTGGCAGCCAAGGGTATTTAGAAAAATGCCAAAAAGAGGGAGAGGTTTACACTGTGTGGGTGTGATGTAGAGAGAAATGCAGAGACCAGAAGTCAGGCAACCCGAGAACACGCCTTTGACACTCACTGAGCCCCCTTTGCCATTCTCTGGAAGTGTTTAAGCTTTAAGGTTTCAGAGTCTGTGGCCTCTGTAAAAATAGTGTGAAAAAAGAAGACACAAAGAAAAGGTACACTTTTCCCTTCCAGACAGAAGTGTTGTGTGTATTCTCCTGTAACTGTTGTCCTGGCTCACTGATTTTCTCTGCTTGGCTAAACTTTAGTCAGACTTATGAACCTTCTCCTAGTCCCATGTGTGAACTATCTTGTAAATTCCAACTTTAGTACATAATGCTGCCAAGGCAGTTTAGTAAGAATCCTCCACGTTTATTCCCTAATCACCATCAACGTCTGATCAAATCTCACTCCTCGCCTGTTTGTGTATATTATCACCTCAGATGGTTCTTCCAAAGAAGCCTGGTAGCTTGGTTCAGCCAGAACCCCATGCCACACACAGAGAAGAAAAACACACATACACAGAGAGAGAGAGAGAGAGAGAGAGAGAGAGAGCCCTGCTGCTTCCTCATAATGTTTTCTATGTACTGCTGCCCTATTCATTCTATCTGCATCTCCACTTATCCCCAATGCATTCAGAATGGAGCCCAAATCTATTCTGGGATCTTCCTTCACTTTTGCAACAAAATCTCTTCACCATTTTGGCTCTTGTGTGACTCCGGTTTTCTTTGACATCTCAGAGGATTGGCAGAATCAAGAGGTTTTGATTTGCCCAAGGACTGTGACAGAGAGTAGCAGAGGGAACAGAAATGCATCAGCGCTGGAATTTCAAGAGAAGTGTCCAGAAGCCGTGACAACCAGAGGCATATTACAGGCCTCTGTGACAGGCTGCCGGGCTGTGAATCCTGATCCAAGCAGAAACATGTTCCACACAGTTTGGGGTTATTTGGGGGCTTGACATACTGAGAAATCCCCACCCCCTGAATTCCAGGAAACCAATATGGCGAGCTGTGCTACAGTTCCAGGCTTCACATTTGCCGGTGATTGCTGGATGTTCAAGCAAGGATACGAGTGCCTGGCACAAGCTTACTCATAGTTAAAGCACACTGCATACTTAAAATGCATATGCCTGGGCCGGACACTTGACCCATGGAGTCAGAATCTCAGGACAGGGCCTAAGCATCTGTGTTATGGCTCTCCCAGGTGACCTGGTTTCAGAGCCAAGAATAGAACAGGTTGTGTAGTTGCCTCTCCCCATTTCAACAAGCACCTGCCCCCTGGTGCACACAAGAGGTACTACAGGGCGTGCTAAAGGTACCCAGGTTCCCTTTTGGCAGAGGGAAAGTGGCTGTTGGTGTCTCCTCTGGGGACCTTGCTCTCAGACTAGGATGTGTTTAAATCTTCACTCTGACACCCTCCATCAGTGGATCCAGAGACGTGTTTTGAAAAGCTGGAAATATATCTGTGTCAAGTGTGGGCATTCTCCCATATGAGAATGAAAACAACAAAACCTTCCTTTCTCTTCTGACTAGGAAAAGTGTCTCTTGATCTGCAAAGATATACTTCTTGAGGTAATAAAGGGGCACATTGTGAAAGAATGGCAGTAAAGAGGCAGTGGATGAAGCAAAAATGTTTTGATTCACTGAGGCTTTTCTCCATTCATCATAATAAGGGGTGGTTAATGACAGCAGTAGTCCTTAGAACAGTGAGGACTAAGATGTTCTCAGCACAAGGCTTCCTTGGTACCCAGCCACTATGGAAGCAGACCAGCTTATTAAGAAGCCTTAATTCACTGGAGTCTAAAGACAAATAGCTCAATTTGTTTTTGTTTTTGTTTTTGTTTAGCTCTTTCAGTTAACCATGATCTGTCAGATCCCTCAACCTCATCTCCTAGTATCTCCAGACAGGCCCCACTACTTCCCTACCAGTTACCAAAGTCCACTCTTGCTCAGTTCGCAATTCCACTCTTGTATCTAATTTCCCCCACATTTCCTCTCCTGTTTGCTCAACCAGAAACTCGAGTGGAAAGGATGAGAAGGGGTGTGTCCTAATGAGGAGAGGTGTAGACTTAATGAGAAGGGGTGTGGTCTTGTCTTTTTCTTTTCTATGCCCAACACCTTTTAGGTTGAGACAATAGAGAAAATAAGAGGCCCAGAGGCTCACCTTACACAAGAGCTACTTATGATGGGAGGAAGAGCCCTGCCCCCCACGGCTTTCATCCCAGCCCTCTCCTGGGGTCTTCCATATGTAGGTCACCTATTAGATAATGTGACATATAGAGTTATGTGCCTTTGGACACAGATGTTTATTTTAAATTACCACCTCTATTATTGAAGACCCCACAGGAAAAAGCAGCCTTCCCCTTCTTTGTCCCACCAGAGGTGTTTACTGTGGGCTTCCTTTCTGGCTGGATGTCACCTTATATGGTCCAGAGCCATCCAAGCATCCACCTGCTTCTTTGACTTCTGCTCTTGTGCAATGGAGTCTTGACACTCATTAACATCATCTGTCCACCAGGGGTTGAAGGGAAGTTGGTGACATAGGCACAAATAACATTTTCTTCTTTCCTAGAGAACTTCACTGGAATTCCTCCTGTCGTTTTTCACTAGTGGGTTACTCCACCACTCTCCCAGGCTGCAGAAATCTGTGGAAACAAGTGACATTGGACATTTTTTCACTTTGTCTGAAATGACAGGATAGGACTTACCTTCCTACCAGAAATAAGCAACAAGCAGACAAGGTATCAGAAACACTGGTTTTCCAGATCCTGGCCATCAGAAAACAAACATAGTGGCCCTCCAGAGAGCATCCACAAATCAGGCAAGCAGTAGGAACATCCAGCATGCTGTCTCAAGAAAGCGCTTAGGCCGGCAGCAGCATAAGGACATCTGAGTAGAGCCAAGAGGCTCTAAAAGTGGGAAGAGCAAACTAAGAGTTGGGGAAGTCAAGTGGGCTGGCAGCACCAAGTATTAAGGAGCTACCTGTAGGAAGGTTTGCAGGGAACCTCTATGTTGAATTGCTATATAGAACATACATGTGAGGGCACACTAGAGGACAGAAAAAATCTGAGAAGATTGGGTAACACTGATGTTCACACCGGATAGGAATATTGAATCTTTTTCCTCCCCCAGTAAATGCAAAAGTCTCATAATTCATTGGCACAGTACTGAAATGTCTTGCTCAGTGGTAGGGAATAATTCCCCATAGACTGCTCAGACATGCCAAACAAATCATAAAAGCAAGACACAGAAAGATCAAACTGTTTCTAAGTAGTTTAATATATCCCAGAACAAAGCTAAAAGAGATTTATAGGAATAAAAAAAAATCTACCACCCAACAAGGTGAAAGTCACAGTTTCTGGCATCTAATCAAAGATTACTAGGCATGCAAAGAAGCAAGAAAAGGGAGAGAACAATCAAACAAAACACTTCATAAATGAGGTAGATTTATAATTAGCAAATTAGGCTGTCAAAATGGCTTTAGTCTATTTGTTCAAAAGTTAAACACTCACTGCTACTGCAGTTATGGATCTTAAAGGAGAACCTATAGCTACCCCTTTCCTAAATGAGCAAAATCCCTGACTATACCCTAAATATTTGTCCTTATGCTCACAGATAAGGGTAGTCCTAACCCCTCAAGGAAAGCTCTCTTTGCAAGAGAACTGGGACCATTACAGAAACCACAACCAATCAAAATGCAGAGCTGTGGAGCTCAGTCCCAGGGGATACACCTACAAAACATTTCCACATGGAAGGCTCGGGGAACACTGCAGAAGAGAGGGCAGAGAGGCTGTAAAAATTAGATCATGGAGTTTGCTGTGTGATTGTGTCTCTTAGTAATATTGGAAGTTACACCCATAAACAATCACCAACATGACTGCTGAAATGTGAGCTAAACAAGAGTGACACCAATGGACACGACAAAGTGAAACAGAAAATTCCCAAGAGGCCTCAACCCTGCACAAAGAACTGAAGGCAACAGAAGAAATCTAGGCACAGGAGAGGTGGTCTTCCCCAGGGAGGAGGACATGAATTGGTTGTCTTAGTGCCAAATGGTCTGAAAATATGCATACAAGTAACATTCTGTGTTCTGAACAGGACATATAGAATGGCAATTAGTGAAAAAGAGGTCATGAATTTGAAAATGAGTGAGCATGAATATATGAGAGGATTTTGAAGGAGAAAAGGGAGTGGGAATTATATAATTATTTTATAAGCTCAAAAGAAATATTTTTAATTCAGTAGACACTTCAAAAGACTCAAACAGAAACTAGAAATAAAAAAATAAATTTAGAATATAACAATAAGGACAGGAGAAAATATTCTTATTAAATTTTGGCAATAAAGATAGCAAAATAAAGATAAGAAGAAATAAAACAATAAAGTGCATCACATAAATTAATAAAAGAGAAGCTTACACAACAGAAACAATTTGTAAAACCTAGAGCAGATGTCTTAAGTGTATGAGTATTTCCTATCTCCAGCCAGGAAGAAACAAATTGCACATTTTGGAGTGAGACAAATGATATTGCCACAGATGCCTCAAATATTAAAAATGTTCTATTAGTTGGATAACTAAAATGGACTGGGGTCCTTAAAAGACAAAAACTACTAAAACTCAATTTAAGATGAAGATTAATATTTCTGTATCTATTGGTGATATAGTATTTATAGCCTAATTTTTTCCACAGAGAAAACACTCTTTTCTTCACTGCTGAATTCTATTATGCATTAAGGAAAAGAACAATACTACTCCTACACAGAAGGTTGAAGGAGAAATGCTTCCCAACTCATTGTCTGATGCCAGCATTTCCCTGATGCTGAAACCTGATAATGACATTACCAGAAAACTACAAACCAATGTCTTCCAAAAACAGATGCAAAATCAGGATTTTAGCAAATCAAATCCATATTAAAATATAACAAATAAAATTCAATATATTAAGAGTATGATGTATCAGAGCCAAGTGGAGATTTTCCAGAGTAAGTATAACATTCAAATTTCAATGCATGTTGAAGAGATCTGCTACTTGGCAATGTGAATATACTTTAATACTGTTGAGCTGTACACTGAAAAATGGTTTAGACTGCAAAGAGGGATAGCTTGACTTATTTCCCTATTTTTATGTCTCTAATTTCCTTCTCTTGACTATTTCCAATAATCTTGATTACCCTTCAGAACTTATTGGAAGGCTCTATTGCTAAAGACACCACATACTTGAGTGGTAGGATATGGTGACATCAAGCTGCTACCAACCAGGGAGCTATATCCCTTTGGCTAACTTTCACAATGCTGGAAGAGTCTATGTGCCATTGTCAGAGAAAAAAGTAAGCAGTTTTACCCAGCTGTGAACCCTTTGAACTACAATAACAATGTGCCTGACAAAATACGCCCATTGGTGTAATAGTGGCATAAATGTTATAAAAATAAACAACCACTTTATGATTATTTTTGAAACTCATGTCCCATACCCTCTACTGGGCCAAAAACCTGTTGCTGACTAGGTCATGGGTTCTAAAAAGAACCTTATAGTATTGTTATGCTAAATGGACATAGTATTAAGCTTCCTTCTGAGACCTTATCTTTATAGTCACAAACTATTGCATCTCTCAAGCTTCGTCATAGAATTTTTTTGTAGTAGCAGATGGTGATTAATAGAGAGACAGGAGTGCCCAACTCTAAATGGGGTATCTGTATCATACCCATCTCCTCATTGCTCATGGACTATGCTGGAAGAGGGCTTAAAGTGACTGTGAGAGCCGGAGGTAGTGGGCATCTCCAGGAAACATTATTTGTCAGGCATAACAGCGCCATTGCACACATGAACTACAGTACTGATGGCTGCATCCATACACTCTTCACAGGATCAGACCAAGCTAACTCACATTATGCACGGGGAACAGACACATGAAATCCCATTGCTTAGCTTAGGAGATACTGGCAATTGGTGACTACCGGGAGAAGGTTGGTTTTCTTCAGCGGCATGGATTCTGATAAGCAACCCGGGCTCTAGGAGAAAGACAGACACCTATGCCCATACAATCAGCATTGAGCGAACTCAGTAGGTTTAGAAAAATAACACATAAAGCTTGGAGGGAAAGGTAGTAAGAGATAGGGAAGAAATTATATGGAAGATAATGTTTGACCAGAATGGATTATGTTCGTGTATGAAATTCTCAAACAATAAAAAATAAAAGTGAGAAAAACATTTGAACAGACATTTCATGAAAATTACAGATGCATGGTAACCATGCATATAGAATCATGTTTGCCATCTTAGTGATTTTAAAACTGTGATAGAAAAACATTACACATACGTTAAATGGCTATAATTAAAATGTTAATTATTAGCAAGGATGTGGAGAAGCTGAATTTCTATACACTACTGAGGGGAACATGAAAAAGTAGAACCATGTCAAAAATTCATTTGGTAACTAGTATAGTCCACTGAGGATACAAGAATGTCCCTATAATGACTTAGGTATGAATGGTCATATCCAACTTCATTTGTAATAATTTTAATCCAGATATAATCCAAAGGACCACCAATAGGTGAGCAGATAAATTGTTGTATAAATGCATTATAAAACTCTATTCCAGAAAAAAAATGAATTAATGATACAGCAGCAGCATGACTGATATCTTAATGTTCCTGCTGGAGGAAAGAAGCGAGATTAAAAAATTGTTTTGATCATATATGTATAGGGATGAGTCATGGGCAAATTTTACAAAAGAAGAGGACACACGGGGAGTTGGAGGGGGAGATGGAGAGGTGGGGATGACATAAATACAATCTCATCAAAATGAAAAATAATAATAATTTTTAAATTCTCACAAAAGAATTACAGGTTGATAGATTTATTTGTTATCTCCACCGAGGCAACAGCTTCATGACTGTAGACAATGTTAGCACTTGTAAAACTGGGCACTTTCACTGGGTGTAATAAATCAATTCTACTCTGTAAAGTCAATTTCTTTTTAAATAAGCTGCAGCAACTACCAGTCTCAAGTTCATGCACACCCTTGAATCCCAGGGGACAGAAGGTGAGCTCTTTGTAGAGGTCCCTGAATTTTGTTATGTTGCAATGACAGGTCTAGGATGGCCAAGCAAGTTCAGCATACCAGAAGCTTCTGACCCAGGAGTGAACTTCGCTCTGGCCCCCTTTCTCTAGGTGCTTCTAGCCTCTTTCCTTGTCCCTCTTTCCCTCCCTCTCCTTCCCCCTTCCTCCTCTCTCACAGTGATCAAGTCAGGAAAAGATTGGGAGAGGAGAGCTATTCTCTCCTGGAGCATCTGTAGTTCCCCCACACGTAATGACATATTTCCCTAGCTCTCCTGACTTGCCTGCTTGTACAGATGCCGAGGTGGAGTGCTTGAACGCTGTGGTGAAGGTTATGTGTGGCCGCAATATTTACCTCCCTCCTCAGGAAGTAACAGGTCCCACTTGCTGACAGTTGCAAGGCAACCTCCAGCTCAGCTAGAAAGAAAGACTGGCGGAGAAAAGGGGCCTTGTGGATGGACTCAGGCTTTGAGGTGGCTTCACAAGTGGAGAGTGGGTAGGGGTGGGCATGGGCCCAAAAAGCTTCAAGCTGTATCTTGAGCTACGTTAACAAAGCTTTAATGACTTCTCCCTTCAGGGAATTAAG